GTTTAAACCATGGGCCTCATCATTCCTTTAATTAGAGGCAACGACCCTTCCCTAAATCTCCAGAAAAAGCAGCAGCAAGCAAATCAACTTTTGTCCTGAAGTTTGAATTCAATTTTAAATTTCTAGCTCTTTATTGCTAGCTCCCTCCCTTCTCATTGCAAGGAATCCAACCAAAGCAACCAAAAAAAGCATGCCACAATAAAGAAAAGAGAATTATAAGTATTGAAGAAAAGGATAAAAGGACCACATTCCCACTCTATTCTCTCTTCAAAATTTTTATTCTAGAGATGATTTCCACATCTCCTCCTCTTTCTTCTCCTCCCTCTTCTCTCATGTTCTTCCCCTCTCTGTTCAAGCAAGATTCCAAAAATGCTCAACCAAGGCAAGTTCTCATCTTCATATTTACTCTTCTCACCATTACTTTTCATTTACAAACCACTTATAGGAAACCATGGTATCTGCGAGCAATGGAGGCCATGAACATGTGGAAACCTGCAACGAAAACTGGCACGAATTCGGCAAATTCAGACAACCCAAAGCTGAGGAAATCCGGGTCTTTCAGACTGGCATTTTCATTCACTCGTGTCTGTCTATGTTCTCCAATCTCGTCCTATAATGAAGCATTCTGGTCCGGGGTTCCGCCGAGGAGAAGCAGCAGCACATTGCCAAGATCTAAGTCCTTCCCGGAGCATTCTGACAGAATTTCAAGAACCAAAAGTTTGGCTGAGGGGAGGAGGGTTTTCAGAGGGAAGTCGCTTACTGATGATGTGCTGATGAGGAGGTTTGTGGTGGAGGAAGCAGTGATGCAGATTAGGAGGAGAAATCAGATGGAGTTTGTGAGGAGGAAGAGCTCTATTAAGAGAAGGAAACTCGGGCCTAGCCCTCTCTGTAGGATGGTTTTGGCTGGAGAAGAAGATTGATGCTTATTTGCTTGGAAAATGTAGTATTTTGTAGTATGATTGATGATGATTATGAAATTTTTTTTGTTCTTCTACATTTGATGTATGCTCAATTAGATCTCAATAAAATATGACTCGATTTTCATTTTTGAATTTGATACATGAAGAAATCATCAAACTAAAGTATTTACATGTGTTTGAGAGCATTACTAAGCTACCAAATCTTGCATGGTTTTGTCGGAAATCTTAAATACCCAACGATGCAAGGAATTATAAACTTAGAATTTTAGCATTATGAACCAAGAATTTATTTATTTGCCTAAGGTAAATTTTGTATAGTATATATATATA